TCCCCCCCCCCCCCCCTAACTGTAATGCTAAAAGTCTTATTGTAGACCGAGTAAAAAAGCTCAAATACCTTATTTAGAATTCTGAATCTAAAACGGATGTTCTTGCTAGGCCAGGAACAGGCTTTGTCGCTCTGACCCTGTAAAACGACTCTCTGGTCTGCAAGCACATATGAGTTCTTTAGGTGTTTAACGTTTGGAGATTTGAACAGCCATCTAGTGTCTCGACGGCGATGCATCGACCTCCCGATGTGGTGACATGCCTTCTGGTTTTTCTGATGTGTGACGAATCGAGTTCTCTGGTAAGACTTGAAAGAAGAACCATGATGCCGACGAGAATAATCTGTGTAAGAACCGCTATGATGCCTGAAATCTGGCCGGTGATAATCCCCATTGGCGTGGCGGTGATGGATAAATCCGCCGGGGCTTTCTCGATCAAGAAACCTGGCCATCACACATACACACACACACACATATATATACACATATATATATATATACACACACACACATATATATATATATACATACATACACACACACACATATATATATATAAAATAGAATGGCGATTAGAAAGAGGGTTTTTAGAGAGAGGGATTTCTCTGGCGATTTCCTTTATCGGCGATGGAGCCCTAGAGGATCTGATGATCTCGACAATAATCACATATCTTCCTTTCGTCGGAAAGGTTCAAGAATTCAGGGCTTTACAAATGCACTTCGATCAGGTGCTTTCAATCAAAGACGATCCTTTAATCGTGGGGATGAGAACAAGTCATGCCGTAAAGGTGAAGCGAACAGGGGCTTTCGCCATATATGGAGGGACTCCTCCAAAGGGCTCGGGACTAGAAGAGAGAGCAAAAACAAGTTCAGCCTTCTCCGATTACAAGCTAAGGTGTTTGTTTTCTTCCATTCCTTCTTCAATAATAATGTTTATCAGAGTTCGGGAAGAAATCTGCTCACATATGGTTTAGTGTTGAAGCTATTAATTGGTTGGTAGAGATTCTACCGAGACTTTCCAGCAAGAATCCTTGGGCTTACACTAGATTTGAGAAGCTTAGACAATTATTTGTTTCATTTGGTTCAAATAGTAGGGGAAATTTTATTAGAATTTCGGAATCCAAAGAGGAAGGTAGAACCTCAATATTTGTCCCTGTTGAAATTCAAAACCCTTCCCTTTTTTGGCGAGAACTGGACAGTTTCTGTAGTAAGTTCTTTGTCACTCACGCGTCTATGGGGGACTCTTTTGCCATTCTTGAGAGCAGGACTGAAGAAGAGTCCCTCTTCCCTTTGTGTAGATCCGGAAACCCTATGCATTATTCAGCCAGAAATCCCTTTAGATACCTCAAAGAGCCATGGAGGGGAAAAGATAGCATTTGCTCGCCATTCTTTAGAGGATTCGAGAGCCCTTACAGTTATCCCAGAATGGCGTGACCCACTCGTTAATCTCGAACCCAACACTACAATGATGGAGGATTCTGTTCAATCCATCACAGGCGCTCTTTTTCAAGAGGATATTAAGGAGTTTAGCCATAAAGACTATGCTTTTGACATTTGCTGCAAGGGAGATTTCCATGATGAATTCAAACTCTTGGAGCCCATATTCAATGACCACTTTGAATCCCTGTTCAAGGAGACAGCTTGCTATATTAGGGAGGCTTTGACAATTGGATTGGTACGCAATAAGCTGCAAGAGGGTCTTCTGAAAAATGGTAGGGGTAAGGTGTTAAGATTGACAAGGCAAGTGGCTAAGGGCATTGAAGTAATAGACTCAGTTAAAATTAAGGGTACTAAGCACCCAGTGTACTTAATTTATGCAAATGAGGACTCATCAGTAATCCAATCAGTTTGTGGAGCTTTTTTACAGGGCTATTAAGCTTCGTGCTTCATTATGGGCTTAGCTTCATTTCTGCCTACTATTCTGCTTTTTCTTGAAAAGCAACTCTCAGGTTTTTGGAGCTCCTTGATTATTTAAGATTTATTTCCATTGTATGAAAGCCCTCGAATTTTGCTTGCCTGATACAGAGGAGCCAGTCTCATTTTGATTTTGAATCGAGTCGTTCAACATCCTTCCTTTGGAGGCTTCTGGTACAGCTGATTAGGCTTGGAAGTTGGGTGAATACCATGCTTCAAGGATCAGTAATTGTTGCCATCTGCTCACCTTTAGTCCAGCTCACTTTTGGGAAGGCCCCGTTCCGTTCAACTTATTTTTTCTTATTTTTTTTTTATTCTTATTAAAATCAGATCAGATCAGATCAGACCAGTTCAGATCAGATCGAATCAGATCAGATCCAATCAGATCAGATCAGATCCAATCAGATCAGATCAGATCAAGACTTATTAAAATAAGATCTCATCAAGAATTATTATTATTATTATTATTATTATTATTATTATTATATTATTATTATTATTATTATATTATTATTATTATTATTATTATGATCATCATCGTCGTCATCATCATTATTATTATTATTATTGTTCTTAAAAATGAAAAAGAATAAACTTTAGAAATAGGTTAAATAAAAAGCTGAGAAAGTAATCCTTAATTATTAGACGTCGGAAAAATTAGTTTTAAAATACATTGAGAATGTCAATCTAATTCTACTTTTAAAATATATTTTTATTGCTACTTGTAATTTGAGTTTCTAAACTTTTGATCTTTTATTAGGATGAGATATTTTAATAAAAATACTATCTCTTCTATATATTGATTATCTAAATTTAATTACTTTTAAATGTATATCTAAATTAAATATTTATTCCAATGTATAATTCTAATTTTACAAAAAAATTATCATAAAATAAAAAATATTATTACATTATATATACTTACTAATAAGATTATATACTTAATTGATAAAAATATTTATTAAAAAGGAATCATTAAATAAAAAATATTGATTATATTATAATATGAATTATCATTACAATTTTCAAACGTTATTATAAAGTCAAATTAAATTATTGATTTGAAATTTTAAATTAAATCATAATTAATCAGATCAGACCAGATCAGATCAGATTATATCCAATCAGATCAGATCAGATCCAATCAGATCAGATCAGACCAGATCTGATCCAATCAGATCAGATCAGACCAGATCAGATCAGAACTTATTAGAATCAGATCAGATCAGAAAAAATAAGTTGAACGGAACGGAGCCTTAGCTGTGGCCTTTCTTTTAGATGTTTCTACGTTCATGGATTCTTTTTCTTTTGTTTGTTTCTTGGTGTACCACTGTTGTTTTAGATGTTTTTTCTGTTTGGCTCTTTTGTTGGGGCCTGAGCAACCCTTTTTTCTTCTTTTCTTCTTTTTAATAAAAATTCTCTTTAACAATATATATATATATATATATATATATGTATATGTATATATATATATATATCTATGTATATATATGTATATCTATATATATATATATGTATGTATGTATATATATATATATACACAAAGCTCACCACTGGCCACTGCAAAACTCACCAAAGACAACTACAAAGCTCACCAAACTGTAAGACAAAGCTCACCATATTTTTTCAACACTTTGATTTTTTTTTGAAAAAATAAAATCAAAGGTAGGGGTGCTGACTGGACTTTGACTATTGACCGCCGCCTGCCGACGCTGCCGACCGCCGTCGCCGGACTCTGGCAGCCACCGTCGCCGGACTCCGGCAGCCACCACCGGTCGCTGCCGCCGGACTCCGGCAGCCACCGCCAGACTCCGACTGCCACTGCCGGCCACTGGTCGCCGCCGCCGCCGGTCATTGCCACCGCCGATGCTCCGCCTCCGGCCGCCGCCGTTGACCGGTAGTTGACCGGTGTCGCTATTTTATTTTTAATTAATTTTTTAATTTTCAAAATTTATAAAAAAAGTGAGTTTTGGTGTTCAAAGTGGTGAGCTTTGCTTTATTTCCAGGTGAGCTTTGTATTGTCCATTGGTGAGCTTTCTAGTGTAGTGTGGTGAGCTTTGCGTCATCTGACCGAAGCATGTCATCTCACCGTAAGGTGTCATCTCACTAGAGTCAATCCATATATATATATATATATATATATATATATATATATATATATATATATATATATATATATATATAGTAACACCCCAAAAACCGGTCTAGTTGTTTTTTATAAAAAGATAATTGTTTGGTAATTGTACCTGAATAGAAATTAAAATAATAAAATTTAATAATTATATCAGTTAATTAAGATTGACATATTAATTCCAAGAATATCAACGAAAAAGTTTTTGGAATAAAAATAGAATTAAAACAAACATTATTGAGAGAAGTAAGATAATTATAGAATAAACTAAATATATATATTTATCTATTTTAACCGACTAAAAGGGAGGAAACACTAATCATATGGTAGCAAATGACACGCGTTGTACCATCATCATCTTATGATGTTACTTCATAGTTTTATCAAGTTCATCATTTTTCTTCACAATTAAGAAAGTAAATATATACTCTATAAATAATGCTAGAACCGAAGCCCACACCACAAACCTACGTATATACTACTCAACTAATCTATTATAATCGTAGAAAATTTTAAGTACCTCTAAAGGGTTAACTCAAAGTTGAGTTGGTTGAAATTTTTTTAATATATACAAATTAAGGGTGGTTTGCCGAAGGTATTACCGGAATTCAGCATCTCACTAAAGGTCACTATCTTTACGTCATAGCAACTCGATTCAGCGTTAAGGTGAGTACCGTCGCCCGTATAACAATTGTTACTTAATATAATACGTTAATATATGCTATATTTGTTATATATTCAATTGATTTAGTTTCCGTCACTAATAATCGGGAACGCTGCCGACTTTTATTTTTAACATGCGTTACGTCCAAATTATCTAAAATATTCCCCAAAAGGATTCTATGATGATTATATAAGGGCTTGCGAATAGAAAATAAGATTTTGAAACAAATTTTTGAACACCGTTAAGGAAGGCGACCGAAAAATGGGTCTCGATGGTGACGCGTGTTTTCTACAAACTTTTACGTCCAAACTATTTATATATGTTTTCGAAAAAGTATTTTGATGAGAAAAAGAAGAAAATTGGGTTTTGAACATAAAAACAAAGTTACCTCGTCAGAGAAGATGACCGGAAACGACCAACTCCAGTGACAAGATTCTTTAACATTCTACACTTAAAACTATTTCTTTACATTCTAAGAAAGTTTTTAATAAGTTCTAAATAAGGGAAAAAGGATAGCTTTGAAGCAAATATAAAATACTCTATTATTTTTTAAGTTACGTATATAGAGAAAAAAATGATGTGTTGAATTTGAAATATGGATTCAAGAAGTTAATGAGACACAAACAGATACAAATTATATTTTCTAAAATTATCAAACGATTTCTAGTATGTGAACTACGGTTCACAAGGTTCCACAGGGTTAACCAGTACCCCTCCATTGCCGTACGTACGAGCTCGTCATAATGGACTTGTCGTGTACGTTAAGTACTCGGAGTCCCGGTTACAAAATGGACTTGTCTTGTACGTTAAGTACTTGAAGTCCCATTTAAACAAGAATAAAGCAGAGTAAAGAAAAAGTTCAAATATGTGGATATTGCACCTTTATGGAATACTGGAACAGAAATGATTTGATATTATCAAAGTAAAGAATTTTGAGAAAAGTATATGTTTACGCTATTATATTTTGTACCTATTGTTATAATTGGTACAACTCAGCTTTTGCTGATCGGGTTGGCTCCATTTTTTTAGGTACACAAACAGAATAGTGGCCGAACCGGGGGACAATGCTAAGGCGATGGAAGGATGGACGAGATGACATAAAGAACGATAACATTAATAAAGATGTTATTTTTGGAATATATATTTTGTACGAATATGTTAAGCTTCTGCATGTATAATAGTTACTCCGATATTATCAATAAATAAATAAGTTTTGTTTAATGCTCCATTTTCCGATTCAAAAAGTTGCACCCGTTAACACCGCGAGTCGGATATTCGAATAAATTCGGGTATCTGGGTTGTGGCGTTACACACACACACACACACACATACACACACACACACACACACACACACACACACAGATATATATATATATATATATATATATATATATATATATATATATATATATATATATATATATATATATATATATATATATATATATATATATATATGTATGTATATGTAACACCCTAATCCGTCCAAGTCTGCAGCCCTTTTGGACTAAAGTATTAACTTGGTAATCGTAAAAATTTAAAACTTTTCAAACACTTTTATTTATCACAATAATATTTTCATAACATGTATAGTACGGAGTATTCAACAATATTGCAGAAGCGAATTGAATATTGACATATCATAAATTGTTTCAAAACTTGTCACATCTATCCCGACAATCTCGCTCCATCTGCCGCCAGGATCACATTGTTCTTTCTGTTTACCTATGTGTAGCAAATAAAACACACTACACGCTCAGCGGTAAAGCTGAGTAAGCATATCTAATGTGTCGAACATCCATATAAACTGAATCTAAATTCATAATCAAATCATTTCATATCATGCACACAATGTTCATTATAGACATTCACAGTTTTGATATTGTTCAGTTCATATCAACACATTTTATTCAATTCAGATATTATTTCGACAGTGTTCTTAAATTATTCTTAATCTAAGGCCAAATAATAACAATGCTCTTAGCTATTCTTAGTCTAAGGCCAGATCATAACAATGCTCTTAGCTAATCTTAGTCTAAGGCCAGATCATAATTTCCATAACCAGACTCCTAAATTGTGGTTAGTTTAAGGCCATTAACCAGACTTTTAAAAAGGCTATTAATAATCAGACACTTAAACTATCATTAGTTTAAGGCAATTGATTTCGGACTCTTAACTCTAGTCAGTTAAGGCAACAACAATATTGCGATTGATCAACGTTGGATCGGGGCTTTCCCAAATGAGTGATCCTCTAGTTTGGTCTACGAATTCTATTATTACATTTTTATCCAATCACCGGATATTCATGTTTCACAAATCCATACTAATATGAGATCTATTCAAGAGGTCTTCTAGATAGCCTTAACATTAATTATCTAAATGGGTGTATCTTAGAGTTTTTCTAAATACCCTTAACATTATATGTCATTTCATAATTATCAATGTATTCATTTTACCCATGGTTTAATCATCCATAATCATTTTAATCAGTAGGCTCTTTATTCATACTCATCCATAATAATTATTTATCATAATCATCAATCAACATTACAATTGATAACAATTAGCGGCCTAACCTTGAGTTTATCATAATCATCAATCAACATTACACACACACACACACACACACACACACACACACACATATATATATATCATATATATATATATATCATATATCGATGGATTCTCTCTCTAGCTCTCCGGTCACTGGCAAGCCGCCGGAAAACCGAAACAGGCTCTTCTCTAAAGTTTTGGCTACTGATTTTACTGGGAAAAAATTGCAGGGAAAGGTAACTGGCTTGTTCAAGGGTATCCCCTCAGTTTCTTTCACGAAGGAGGACATCTCAGAACTCTCCTCGCGATTTAGTCTTGCTCTGGTTGCAAAGTTCATTCGTCGTCCATCTTTCACAACGATGAACAAATTTTTGCAGAAGCTTGGGCTCAAGGGGGGTTTTGATATCTCACTTCTTCATAGCAACAGTTTCCTCCTAAATTTTAGGGAGGAGGATGACTACCTTCGACTCTTCCTCCGTAGATCCTGGCAGGTTTTTGACAAACAAATGAGTCTCACAAAATGGAGCCCTTGGCTTTCACAGGAGTCAGAGAACCCCATAATGCCCATCTGGATTGCATTCCCCGGCCTCCCTATACACCTCCATGACAAGAGAGCCCTACACCTTATTGCATCAACTATTGGTACTCCTCAGAAGGTGGATTCTTGTACGATGAATTTTTCCAGGCCAGCCCTAGCCAGATGCTGCGTAGAAGTGGATATCTCCAATCTTCCGCCGGCCAGAATACTTATTAACCATGGAGGAGAGGAACTTATTTTTCCTTTCCATTATGAGGATGTCCCTCTTTTTTGCAAAAGGTGTAAGAGGACTGGGCATGTGCTGGAAGCATGTCAGCATAAGAAGGAAGCCGGTTTCACTCCTTACCGGAGAACAGAGGTGGCGCCGGAGAAGATGGGCGAACTTGCAGTGGATCTAACTAGTGAAAAGTGGCAAAAGGTAAAATCCAAAAAGGGTAAAGCCAAGATGCCTTTGGAACCAGCACTTAAAAGAGAGTGGCGGGCCAGACCTTCCACTACTTCACATGCTACTTCATCTGCTGCATGGAAGGAAGGTCCAGGGGAATCATCCAAAACCAATGCAGGTACAAGCGACCCCATCCCAACCCTCAACAGCGTACTCAACAATGGGGCAAATGAAGTAATCTCCAAAAACAGACAGGGGGCCTATTGCATCACTGACCCGCTTGTCCTCTCAGCTCTCACTTTACAGCACTGCAGTGATTTTGTGGTAAGATCTCCTATTCTTTTTGAAGCTCCCACCTTCAATGAGGAGTCTGTAGATGTTGATGATAGCTTGGCCTTAGTTCCTTTCGTGGATTTCAACCTTCGTGTTGATGGTGAACCGGAGGTGGGGTTTTTTGATGATCCACAAAAACTCAATGATTCTATCCACAGACTGGACTCCCTCCTAAATCTAAACGAGTTCCCACCATTGCCAACAAAGGAGGTGTCCCCTTCTATCACCCCCACGCCCAGAACTAAGGAACGTCATCATGCCATGGTCACTAGATTCATGGCGTCAAACAGCTTCTCTCCCCTAATCTCTCCATGAATGGACTGTTTTGGAACGTTAGGGGGGTACATATTTCTCTCCCCCGTCTCATTTCACTGGTCAAGAAACAAAATTTCTCCTTCTTGTCTCTTATTGAACCTTTAGTGGAACCGGGAAGGTTGGAGTGGTACAAGCTCAAACTTGGTTTCACAAAAGGATTTTCCGCTCTTAATAATAAACTCTGGTTCCTATGGAATGACAGCCTACTCACTCTCCAGGCAGTCATTGAAGAAGATCAGATTCTTTCTTGCTGTTTCAAGTCTTTGCAAACTTCAGCTCCATTCTGGGTTTCCAGTGTGTATGGCAAACACACTAGAGCAGAGCGTGAAGGTTTATGGGCCTCTCTACGTAATCTTTACCCAGTTCAAGGTCCCTGGATCATTGGAGGGGATTTTAATACTGTTGCAAATATTTCTGAGCATAAAGGGATGGTATGCTCGGATATAAATAGCATGGATGATTTCTCTAATGTTATCTCAGACTGTGAACTTCTTTCTCCCAACTTTATTGGAAGCCAATTTACTTGGTTTGGTAATAGGAGGAGAGGTAGGGTGAGCAGAAGATTAGACCGTATACTTGTTGGAACACACTTTGTACGTTAAACTAAAGTCGTGTTCATTTCTGACAGGTTTTGATAATTGCCAAACCGCCGTGGATATGAAGAGTTTCGTTGAATAACTCAAGGCGTGAAGAATGGCTTGGAACAAGACCTAAAAGACTCAAGGACAAGATCAAGAATTGAAGACTTAGTCGAGTCGGTCTTTTGTGATCAAAACTAATAATCAATTCAAGTCTCGGTTCTCAAAGAGTCAAAATTATTTTACAAAATCATAAAATGTTTTTATGCATCAAAATAAACATTTTAGATAAATCTCTTTTTTGTTAAAATCCCTGGTCCTTGCTCAGAACCAAAACCACCTAAGTCGGCTTTCGGCTTTCAACGTTTCGGCTTTCGACGTTCGGTTTTTGGCGCCCGAACCAACTCCGTGGTTTTCAATATTTTAAACCCTGTTTTTATCTCTGAGCATATTTTAAAGGTTCCCGAATAATTATTTTATAAAAACCACTCTTGTATCTTGGTCAATCGGTCTAACACGTAAAAAACGGTCAAAACCGTACGCACGTGATTTACGACCTTGAGGACTTGGTTTTTACCAAACAAGTC